AGGCTGGCTCTGCAGTGGGGCAGGGAGCACTATGGGGGCTCAGCCCCCCCCCCCCCCGCTGCTCTCGAGGTGTGTGCCCTCTGTTTTGCCTTGATCCTGGCTGACACTCGGCAGTGGGCAAATATTTGCTCATTGTCGTTATTTAAAGCCACTGAATGAGAGCCAGTGGCTCTCAAGGGCCGTTGGCAAATATTTGCTCATCAACAGCGTCGAAAGCAAGAGGAAGATACTCGGGGAGAAGTGCCGAGTCCGCCGAGGAACAGGAAACCCAGTGTGGCGACTCAAGATGGGGACTACGTGGCTCCACAGCTGAAAAAGAAAAAGACCTCGGAGGAACAGGTCAAACGTGTGCCAACAACGTGATGCGGCCGCCAAAAGGGGAAATGCTATTCTGGGATGCATTAGCAGAAGCATTGCTTCCAAATCACGGGAAGTAGTCGTTCCCCCATACCCCTCACTCGTCAGACCTCACCTGGAGTCCTGTGTCCAGTTCTGGGCACCAAGATTTCAGAAGGATGCAGAACGATTAGAAAGGGTCCCACAGAGGGTGACAAAAATGATCCAGGGTTTGGAAATGCTGCCCTTTGAGGAGAGACTGAGGGAACTGGGCATGTTCAGCCTTGAGAAGAGAAGACTGAGGGGGACATGATGCCCTCTAGGAGTACCTCAAAGGCTGCCACAAGAGGAAGGTCAAGTCTCTTCTTGCTGATGCCAGAGTGTACGGCACAAAAGAAACAGTTCAAGCTGCGACAACCCAGATTCAGGCTGGGCATCAGGAAAAGCTTCCCCACACTCAGAGCAACATGGAGGTGGGCAGAGACCTGTTCTCCCCTGCAGAGGAAGGCAGGATGTGCTCCAACGGAGTCAAGCTCAGGGAACCCAGGTCCAATTTGGGTGCCAAGAAGCACTTCCTGACAGTCAGGACCCCGAGGGTGTGGAAGGGGCTTCCACGGGAGGAGTTTGAGGCCCCATCGGTGCGGGTGTTTAAGGACAGGCTGGACGTGCACATGGTGGGCAGATCATGAGTGGAGCCGGCTGGAGCCGGAGGTCAGACTAGATGGCCCGGGAGGCCCCTTCTGACTCGCTCTGTTTCTGTGTTTCAACACAACCGAGGAACCAGCTGCCTGGAGAGGTGGGGGCTCCCCCACACTGGAGACATTCAAAAGGAACCTGGGCAGCCCTCCGAGTGGGATGGTGTGAACTGGTGTCCTGCAACAGCGGGGGTGGACCCCAGGGCCTTCTGGCCATCGCTGCTATTCCACGAAATCATGCCGGAGTTGTGGGGTCAAGGGCAGCCTCAGGCCAAGCACTGCCCAGGCACCCCTCCTGGCTCCATGGGGGTGGGTCCTCCTCCGCGCGCCTCCCGACGGGAGTGTGGGCAAGGCCACCGGGCCCGTGGCTGGGGCCAGTGGGGCTCTGCCCATCCCTGGCCGGCAGCGGCGCCCTCTTGCCCTCGGTGTGGCCGCCCGAGGCACAGGAAGCGACCACGCACCTTCCCGTCTGCTGCCTGTCCGCTTGGCGCCGCTTGGGATGGGGAGCCCCCCGGAGGGCCGGGCACCGGCACGACCTGCTCCTGGCCTTCCGTGGCCAGGCTGGGGAACAGCCCCCCCCCCCACTCGCAGGCTCCCTTCCAATCTGCACGTGGGCAGAGGAAATGAGGGAGGTCCTGGCCTCAAGGATGGAGAAGGTGATCTGGAAGGGCTCCGAGCAAAGGGGTGAGCTGGTGTGGGGGCAGCAGGGACGGAGAGGGAGTCCCTCCCCAGGAAAGCCATGAAAGCCAAGGGGAGTTGAGGGTGCCCCCCCCCCCACCTGGCAGTCCCGCTGGGCTCTGTGCCCCTTACTTCTGGGAAGACATGCAGAAACGGAGATGGAGGGTGGACAGTCTGCGTATCAAGGCGGGGCCGGAGGGGCGATTCCTCAGCAGGGCGGGGGAGTGCGGGGTGGCTGGGGCTCCCAGGCCAGGACTCGGCTCGGCGGCTGTCGCTGGCCCTCGCAGCCCTGGCTGCCTCAGCGACCCATGGCCCAGGCCTGGCCGGCTCCCCGGCCCCTCACTCGGTGGCTAACAAGCAGCCAGACTTGCGGAAAGCCCTGGCTGCAGCCTCCCCGCCCCCGAAGCCCCCAGCCCCCCCTCCTCCGCTCTGGGACCCGTGGCAGAGCCCCGGAGCGCTTGGCTGCCTGCGCCCTGAGCAGCCGGCCTGGAATGTCCTGCTTGTGGGCCGCTCATGTGGCCGGGCAGCCTCTCCAGGCAGATGTTTCTCGTTGCTCTGCACGGGGCCGGGGGCGCATGAGTCAGGGTGGACACTCATGCGCGAGCCACGGGGTGGGGGGGCGGGCAGGGGCGCTCTGGCCGGCCATCCCTGGGAACCAGAAGCAGAGCCCTGCCCTGGGAGCAGCACAGGGCCAGCGCGGGTGGGATGAGCTATTTTGGGCCTGCGAGGCGTGGCGAGCAGCTGGGACAGAAATAGCCGCCTGGCGGGGTCAGCGTTTCATTCATGCTTCTGCGGGGGGGGGCGGGGGAGCCCTGGCCCGGGTGCCTTTCCTCTGGCTCACAGGCGGGGAATCCTCTCGATTCATCACCGGCTGGTGCGTGCTGCGACTGCAGAAGCGCACATGGCGCACGCCGCATTGTCTCTCTGCCCCGAAAGTCGAAGGCGGAAGGTTCGGGGTGTGACGGCACGGAGCCCCTTTGAACGCTGCTGAGAGCGCTGAATGGCACTCGGGTGCAGTTTCTGGCAGGGCTTTGCATGGAGCCACCGTGACCTTTCTCCGAGCCGAGCCCCGGACCAGCAGGATGTCCCTTGGCCCCAGGACCGGCGGGGGCTGCAGGTGCCGTGCGGAGGGCCCACCGCAACCCCGGACTGGCGGGGGCAGCGCTCGTGCATGCACGGCCGCCTGCCTGTGGCAGAGACACGCTGCGGCCCCGGAGGGCCATCGCCGGTCACGTGCGGGGGATTTCCGCGGGCTTCCTCCCCACATTTCCTGCCCCACGCTCTGACCTTCCTGTGGATTGCCCCATCCAGAGAGGCCTTGGCCAACCGCTGGGAGAGTCCCGCGGCTTCGGAGCATTTTGTGGTGTCATGGAAGGGACCAGGTTCATGGCGTCCCCTGCCGCACTGGAAAATCCGCCTCAGCAGCAGCCCTGCCGTGGGCAGCGCTGTCATGAGGGCCGTTGCGAGCGACGGGGGCGCAGAAGCACTGAGTCAAGGCCTGCAGCGTGCAAGGAGGGGAAGAGGCGGCCCATCTGCCCGTGTGGCGGGTTCTTGGCAACCCGCAGCACATCCTGGAATCCGGATTAAGAGGTGGGGGGCCCTCGGGCCCCCCCCCCCCAGCCGCAGCCCTGAGCTTAGAAACATAGAAACAGAGCGAGTCAGAAGGGGCCTCCCGGGCCATCTAGTCTGACCTCCAGCTCCAGCCGGCTCCGCTCACGACATGCCCACCATGTGGACGTCCAGCCTGTCCTTGAACACCCGCACCGATGGGGCCTCAACCATCTCCTGTGGAAGCCCACTCCACCCCCTCGGGAACCGTCAGGGAATGCTTCCTGGCATCCAAATGGAACCTTGGCTCCCTGAGAGCTTGTTCACCCCGGGATGCCCCGCACAAGCCACGACTACCAGGCTGCCCCTGTGGCTCAGGCAAGGCCACGTGAGGCCAGGCGTGAGCCTCACAAGCGGCGGGGCCAGGTGGGAGCCAGGTGGGAGCGGCGGCACGGGTGGGGCGGGAGCCTCTCGGGCCAGACGTCGACGGGAGCAGCCTGGAGAGGGGAGGCTCCGCCAAGCAGCTTCTCCCTGCACAGGCAGGTCCAAGGCAGGTCTGCCCAAGCAATACCGCTGTGGGACCAGCTGCCCGAAGAGGTGGGGGCTCTCCCACACTGGGGACATTCGGAAAGAGACTGGGCCGCCCTCTGAGCGGGATGGCGTGCCCTGGTGCCCTGCAGCAGCGGGGGTGGGCCTGAGGGCCTTCTGGTCCCGTGCAATTCCAGGAGCCTGGGTCCCTGGGGGTGGCCAGTGGCTCAGGGGCAGGCTGACCCCTGCCCCATGCTGCGAGCCGGAGCCCAGGGCGCTGCGTCAAGCGCCCCCCCATCTGGTGCCCTGGGCATGTGCTGGCAGCACGGCACCACTGCTCGGGAGTGCAGAGCCCTGTGGACGGCGTCCCTCCCCCTGGCAGGCCCTCAGAGCAAGGCCCCCCCCAGCCGAGGGCCACAGGGTTAGGGTTCGGGCACACGGCCTCAGGGCCCTCGCAGGCAGGGTGGGGGGCAGCCTCCTCCCCTCCCGTGCGCCTGCCCGACCCCGAAGGCCCGCGACTGGTGACCGCCACGTCGGTTCCACTGTGGGGCCCCCTCTCGCCCCCATCGCCTGCCGCTCTGCGGATGGTCCGTGCTGCCAGGAGCGCCTCTTGTCCGGCCGGACGTGTCTGGCTGCCCACAGCAACGCCCCACCCGTTCCCGAGGCTGATTTGTGAGGCTGGGGGCTCCAGGGGTCCCCACCCGTGTTGCCGCAGCCCACCCGTCCCGGTTCAGCGGGGCAGCTGCTTCGCCTCCCCAGCCAGGCTGCGCGGCCCGCTGCAGCCAGAATGCCTGCGGGAGGACGGCCGGCGCCGGCGAGTCCGTGGGGCAGCGCGTGGGGCGGCCCGCGGGGCAAACGCCGGGCTGACCCGGCCCCCCCACGCCCGCTGCTGCAAAGCGAAGGCGGCAGCCCCTGCGGGTCGCCAGCGTCGGGACCGGCACGGCCCCTGCGCCCACCGGGAGCCCCCCCGAGCCAGCGGAGGCCGCGCCGAGCTGCGCGCAGCGGGAGGCTCGCCGTCTCCGCCCGCCCGGCCCCGGGGCCGCGCGGGGCAACCGACCCCCCCCCCACGCACGGGGCGGCCCCGGGGCCGGGGGGGCGGGGGCTGCCGCTCGTGTGGGCCGCATCCGGCCGCCCGGCCGGTGACTTCATCGCGGCTTCCTGGCCGCCGGCGAGGGCGGCGCATAAAAGGAGCGCTCGGCGGGCGGGCAGAGGCAGAAGCTGAAGCGGAGCGGGAACCCGAGCAGAGCGCAGCCTCTCCAGCCGAGCCCACGACCGCCAACCAGGTAAGGGCTCCCCTCAGGGGCGGTCCCGCTAACGTGCCACACGTCGGGACGCGGGGATGCGTGCCAGGCCGGCCGCACGCGGTCCTCTTCCCTTCCTCTCGGACTTTGGGGGTTTGTTTCCTTTCTGTGCGGCTGACTTTAGGCTTCCTGGGGGGCACCCGGGAGGAGGGAGGGCATCTCACCTGCTGGGAGGGAGGCAGGCGGCGGTGGGAGGCTACAGTCCCCCCCCCCCCCAAACACACACACACGCACACACACACTCGTCCAGCAGCCGGCTTTCGGGTCTTCGGAAGGCAAACCTGGCGAAGATGGGTCGAGGGCATCCAGCGGAAGTGCAGATTTCCGCCAAGTGGCTGCTGTGGGGTGCGGGTGACCTCCCCAGTCCAGGCTCTCCCTCGGGAGGCCCCTCTTTCTTCAGAGCCCCCTCGTCCAGTGCTCTGTTGCATCCAGTGCTGGCTAAGCAGGCGCTGCCCCCATGGGAAGCGGGGCAGGAATGCAGCAGCACCCACTGCCCGCTCCCCAGCACCCTGCCTCTGAGACCAGGCACGGCTCTGGGGCCAGGGCTCTCCCGGGCCAAAGGTGGGGCACGGGTCGAACTCCCCTTCTTTTCCCGACCTCCCAGGATGCTGCAGTGGCTGCCCGTCGTGGCCCTGGCCTGCGTGGCCCTCTCTCAGGCCAAACCCGCCACGCCTGGCCCTGGCGTGACCCGTGTGGCCAGGCTGTGCACGGACTTCGGCGTGAAGGTGTTCCGGGAAGTGGCGAAGGCCTCCAAGGACCGGAACGTGGCCTTCTCGCCCTACGGCGCCGCCTCTGTCTTGGCCATGCTGCAGATGGCAGCTGCGGGAGAGACACAGAGGCAGATCGAGGATGCCATGGAGTACAGCGTGAACGGTGAGCCACTGGGGCCCCCGGGGCGGGTGTCACGCGCAGGGCGGCGCGCTGGGGGCCCAAAGCTGGACCAGAGCCAGGGCCATGGGCCTCCTTGGCCCAGCCCTCTGCCCACCTGGGGCAGCCAGGTGCCCCTGCGAAGCCCACGAGCTCTCCCACCGAGGCCCGCAGTAATCAGCCAGCCAGGCATCGGGGCAGCAGCTGTCGGCCGACATGCCCCCCGGGAAAGCCTCTTTGCTCGGCCCTGCATCCCCGCCATGCCGCTTCAGTGCGCGGCCTCCCCTTCCAGAACTTTCCCTCTCCACTGCCCTCACATGGCGCATGCTTGGCACACCTCCGCACGTTCCCCGCTGTGTCTGCTTTCCCCGAAGCGAGCTCTCCCAGGCATCGCCTCCTTTCCTCCTGGACCCACCTGGGTCGCCCTGTGGCAGGCAGCCCTGCGTCTTCGGCAGGCCCAGCCTCGTGCTCCGAATGGGGCGGCCCCGCAGGGTTGCGCAAGGACTGCGTGGGGCGCTGGGGCGCTTTTGCTCATTTCAGACTTCCAAAACAACGGCACCTCTGCGAAATAGCTCTTCATTGCCAGTTCACAGCTAACAAGCTACACCGACTGAAAGAGCTACACCTTTTCAGAGCCTGTGGCTCCGTCCCTGCGGGAAAGTCGCAGGCCCTGGAACTGGTGGCTCTCCATCCCAGCGCTGCGTCGGGGGGCAGGGCCCGGGCTCGTCTTCCTCCTCTCCTTTATCCCCTCCCTTCTCCTCCAAACCCGGTCCGTTCCCGGGGTCTTCCTGAGAACCTGGGGGCGTTGCCCTGGAGGCAGCCCCCCCACCCCCTCGAGCCCCATCCCCCCCCCCCCCCCCGTCTCCCAGTCTTCGGCCCGCATCAGAAGAGCCAGGGCAGCCCTGGCCTCGGAATAGCTCCCCCTTCCATTCCCCAGCGGCAGTGAGACCTCGGCAATGGAGAGCTGGGTTCCTTTTCCAACACGCCCAAAGTGGAATCTGCCTTTTCCGCAGCAGCCACACACGGTGCTCAGTTTCCTCAAGCTGGCCCACCAAAATCCCTCTTCTGGCCAGACCACGGCAGAGCAGAACTCATGAGTTTAGATTCCGAGGTTAGGCATTTGCGCTCGTCTCTACTGCGCCCCCTCGGCTGTCTCCATGGCACCGTGCTGCCGCCGCCGTTCTCGAGCTCAATGGGGAGCCCCCAATGATGGCCCCCCGCCTGCCTCTCCCCTGCAGAACGGGGCATCCCGCGAGCCACGCGGTGGCTGCAGAAGATGCTGACAGACCCCCGGAACAAGGACGTGGTGGACACCGCAGACGCCTTGTTTGTCCAGCGGGACCTCCCGCTGGTGCCTGGGTTCTTGCCACGGTTCCACCGGATTTTCCACCAGATGGTCAAGCAGGTGGACTTCACAGACAGCCGGCAGGCCCGCCACATCATCAACGCATGGACAGAGCAGCACACCAACGGTGAGACGCGGCTGGGTCCTGCACAGCCAGCGCTGACTGCTGGAGGGGGGACCGGAGGGAAGCAGCCGGGGGTCTGCACGGCCCACATCAGAGATGGGCAAAGGGGGACTCCAGGTGTGTCCAGGGTGGCCAACGGCTGGGAGTGCTGAGAATCGGTGCAAAGCACTGGGGGACCCACGTCCTGGGCACCCTTGGAGGTGGAAAAGCAGCAGGCCTTGCTGGAACGGTCCCTGGGGAAGGGGGGCGTGGGTCACCTGCCCGCCCGCACAGGAGCCCACACTGCGGCCGCCTGGCCGGGGAAGAGCATTGGCTGAGCGCCCCGGAACAGGGGAGGTGGCCCTAAATGGCGTCAGACCGCCTCCAGGGTCGTCGCCGCTGACTGGCAGCCACGGCACGCTCTCCGGCGTGTCCGGCGCGTTCCTTTTTGGTTCCACCTGGAAATGCGGCTGAGCGCTGAGCCCGGGACCGCCTGGGGCCGCGGCCTCTGCCCGGGGGGCTGCTCGAGGGAGCATCGCCTGCCAGCTTCTGGGTCCCTCCCACCCTACAGCTCCCCAACCGGTTTTGCAGGCATGATCCGGGACTTCTTGGGCGAGGGCGCCCTGGACCAGCTGACCCGCCTGGTGCTGGTGAACGCGGTGCACTTCAAGGGCCTCTGGAACTTGCCCTTCCCGGTGGCCGACACGCGGCAGCGGGTCTTCCACAAGCTGGACGGCAGCACCACCCTGGTGCCCATGATGGAGCAGACGGCCAAGTTCAGCTACGGTGAGCCGCGGGCCTTGCCGGGGGGGTGGGGGCCGGGCCGGGCCGGGCCGGGCCGGGCCGGGGAGTGGGCACGGGTGCCTGCCGGGGCTTCTGCCTGCCCGCGTGTCCTCGTCAGAAGACCGCGGGATCAGCATTTCCTTGCACGCGGCAGCCCGTGCTTCCCTTGCGGCAGGGCAAGCGCATCTGGGGTCGGGATTCAGGCTTCCCAGACGAGCTGCGCCCGAGGCCAACGCTGCTCTCCTTCCAGGTGAATTCTCCACCCCGAATCAGGTGGAGTACGATGTCGTTGAGCTGCCCTACCAGGGGGAGACGCTCAGCATGCTCATCGCCACCCCCTTCAAGATGGGCACCCCCCTCTCGGCACTGACGGCCTTCCTCGACTCTGAGCTGGTGGCCGAGTGGAAGAGCGGCATGATGCAGGTGACGCGGCTCCTTGCGCTGCCCAAGTGAGTGGCTGGGGAAACGGTGCCCGCCCCCTGCTCCCCACTGGCCGCGTCTCCACGGGGCGCTCGGGGACCCGCCCGGGCACGGCGGGCTCCCCCTTCACCGCCTCCCTGCATCTCCCCCCCCTCTGCGCAGGTTCTCCTTGGAGAGCGAAGCCGACCTCCGCGGGCCTCTGGAGAACCTCGGCATGCAGGCCATGTTTGATGCCAGCAGGGCCAATTTCAGCAGCCTCTCCGGTGAGTCCCCCGGGGCTTCCTGTCCCGCCCTGTGCCCCAAACGCCGGGGCTCCGTGCTGCCTTCCCAAGAATCGTCAGTTCAGTCCAAGAGGCAGGGCCACACGGCTTGTGTGCGTACGAAGTTTCAGGGCCAGAAATCTAAATACCTGTTAGTTACAACGAAGTCAGAGCACGCAGACCACAAGGGCGGCAGCCCACCACACAGAGCGGCTCTGGCTGACCCACCATGCAGCCAGCCGTGGCTCAGCAGCGCTGGCTGGCGAAGTCCACATGCTGCTTCATGGCAAGTTCCCCATCCGGGCCGTGTGGACTGGTCATGGCCACGCGCCTCTCCTGCCAAGGGAGGAATTCCCTCCGCCTCCGGCTCCTCCCTTGGGAATCCGCAGGGAGCGCCCGGGAGGGGCCTGGCTGCTCCCCCAGTGCAGGCACGCGCTGGCAGCCCCAACCCGTGCTTGCCGGCGGCTGGGCCCCCTGCACGGCCTTTCCTCGTCTGAGGAATCCTCGTCCGGGGAGGACAGGACCCCTTTCGGCAACCTGCAGTCCAGGCTGGATGCATGCTGCACCCCCACCATGCCCGGGCCGAGCTCCGCCCCAGCACCTTTTCTCACCCCCCAGAATAAAGTTCTGGAAGCAACGAGAAGCCGGAAGGCACCTTGCGGGAGGTGGCCAGTGGCTCCCGTTCCACCACCGTTCCCAGGACTGCTTGGGCCGCAGTGCTCGAGGGCCCAGGACTGGGGCAGGCGACCGGTTTACGGGCTGTGCCCCCAGGCTCGCCTGCCGTGCTGCAGCGGTGGCGGGGACGGTGCCCACCCTGCCGGGCAGCACTTTGAAGGGCTGGGGGCTCTCGGCAGCAGCGCGGGCGCCTCCCGCCCCTTCCCTCCAGCCTGGACTTGGGCGTTTCTCTGGCTCGGGACCGCGGCAGCCAGTCTTCCCAGCCCCGCTTCTGCCTCTGGAGGCTGCCCTCCTGCCCCCCGTCACCACCTGCCTCCTTTGCAGCCCAGGCGCCGCTCTTTGTTGCTCAAGCCCTGCAGAAGGTGAAGATCGATGTCAACGAGAGCGGGACCGAGGCCTCCTCTGCCACAGGTGCGTAGCCGAGCTGCAGCTGAACACGGTGGGCAGAGGGCCCCACCGCCCTAGCACACCAGCCACCGGTTAGAGCTGAGCTCATCGCTCTGCCTCGTACCTGCGACGCTCGATGGTCTTTCCCTACAGAGCGGCAGAATCTCCCCCCCGCCGCCTCTCCCTGGCTGCAGCCCTGCATGGGAAGGAAGCCCTGGAGTCGAGCGGGGCTGGCTCCTGGGCCGGCAGCACGAGACTGCAGCCTAGGAATATCTGGGGGCTGAGATATTTCTCCCTCTTCCATGCTCCAAGGCAGTGGCTGCGGGCTGATTAATGGCTTGTGTCCCTTTCATCTTTTAAAGATGAACCCGGAATAAAGCACAGCCAGCCCCTGGGCTTGGTGCGCCCCCAAAGCATGCACCAGGCTGGGGATCAGGCAAGGTCGCGGTCGGCCTCTAAACTTGTGGGGGATGCCAAAAGTATAGAGGAGGCAGCTCATCTGGTTTGCAGCTCCTTTAAAGACAAACATATACATGTTTCGGAAATAGTTTGCAAACATGTTATGGGCAAAGACAAGTTAGGGGGGACTGGGCCCCCCTAGCCCAGCCCCGCCCACAGGCCCAGGTGCCCAGCTTCCTTCCCACTGGGTCACCCCAGTTCTTAGCAACCTGCAAGATGGAAAAGGGGCCTTTCCTCTGGCGTATTTTTCCCTTCCAGTGTAGTGGAGAGAGGAAGGGGCTGGCATGGCCATGGGGTCGGCCTGTGCTCCATTTGAGGGGTCTCAGGTCCTTCCGTCTTCAGAGCCCTGTGCACTGAGGGGAAATGTTGGACCTTTGAACTCGTTACTGAGCTTGGTGCCTCCTCCGATCCCCGAAAGCGCATCTTTCTCCCCTCCGCAGCTGCTGTCGTCTACGCCCGGATGGCCCCCTTGGAGATGGTGATGGACAGGCCCTTCCTCTTCATTGTGCGGCACAACCCGACCGGTGAGGCCTCCTTGGACCGCCTGGGCGCCACTCTTGGCCCCGTGCCTTCCCCACAGCGCCGCTAGCACATTTCCAGTTACTTCCCAGGCCACTCCCAGCTGCCGCCTGCCCCCGCCCCACGGCCTCAGGCACCGCTCTTCGCACGGGCACAAGCAGGATCTGGGCGCCACCGCTCCCCTCTTCTCGTCGAGGCCGCCCACCTGGGGCCCTGCCCAGGACCGCGTTCCATGGCAGGGCTCGCGCTGGGGCACAGGGAGCGGTCTTGGCGCCTAGCAGAGGACTGTCTGGATCGGGACCGTCAGCTCCGCCCAGCTCTGAGCTCCAGGCCAGCCCTGGCCTGGCCAGGGAACGCGGGGGCCCAGTGCAGCATGCGGCGGCACCGTCCTGCAGGGGCTGGGCTCCATTTGCTTCTGTCTCCTGTGCCCCCACAGATGCATGAGCCCCCCAGCGATGGGGATGGCTCTGGGCCGCCCAGCCCCGCCCCACTGGCCCAAGGGGAGGGTCTCCCCGCTGCACTCCCAGATGTGCTGGCTGGGGGGGGGGGGGCGGGCGGGTGCAGCAGCATCAGGACTAGTGCAGTCTTGCCACTCCGTGGCACGTTCTGGACGACTCCGGCCATCACTTCCTCAGGCAGGGAAGGGCCCTTGTGTTCCGCCCCAAAGGACCCCCCACTCTGCAGGGTCTGCCCCAGGAACCCGAACCCATGGGAGGCTCGGGTAGGGTGCCAGTACGTCATCCTGAGGGGCGTGTCTCTTCCGGCTCCCTCTCTAGGTGCCATCCTGTTTATGGGCCAGGTCATGGAGCCCTGACGCCCGCCCCCCTCCTCGCGCGGAACCTCGCTGGAGCAGCAGCAAGTCTGTCTTGCCCGTCCTTCCGCATTTCTTTCCTGAAGACCCATGGACCGTGCCCTGGTCTCCATCTTGCTGCTGAGTGTGTGGGTGGCCCAGCAACTCTTGCTGGCAAAGCTTCTGCTGTTCTTTCACCCGAGACAAGAATTCTGCGGAGCTTCCCCCGGGAGACCTGCATGCGGAGAGGCCTCGACTAAACCCACTCCTTCTGCATCAAAGTCTGTCTTGTGCTGGGACAGAAGCTGTATCAGGCGACTAAAAAGCATTCTGCCAAATATAACTCCCAAACAAAAGCCCCTTCGAGGACACCGGGAGGCAGCCGGCAGGACAAGCGGGCAGGCCGGCGTCTGATGAGGGGCATTCGGTGGTCACCCCGAACTGGAGCACTGCGGCCAGGAGAGTGCCAAATGCTTACACTGACGGAATGGAAGCTCGGCACCTGTGCATTTGCGTTCCGACTTCCCCACGGGGGGGTCCCCTGCCTTGGTTCCCCTGCCCGGCATGGCCTGAGCAGGTCTGGATCTGCACTTTTGATGCGCCGTATTCTTTCTGCACTGCCCAGGCAGAAGTAGAGTGTGGGGCTGTCAACGGGGGGAAGGCTGCATGTCTTCTTCCTTCTACTTTTTGGACTTAATGAACACGTGGAGTGGGGATGATGATGATGATGATGATGATGATGATGATGGAGGGATGGGTGGTCAGGCTCCCCAACTTGGGCCTGTGACTGAGGAATGGTGATGATTGCAGAAGCAAGCATTAGATGCTGGGAGGGAAAGAAAACTTCGCAAACAGCTTGACAAATATGAGATTAATCCCCTCTCTTCCTTCTTAGCAACCTGCCCTTCATCACGTTTTTCTTAAACTCAGGCCTGTGCTGCAGGGGCTCCGAGCCTCCTTCAGTACACACCCCACTGGAAGTGAAGAGGGGCTGCAGAAGGGTCTGGCCTCTGAGTCAAATGCACCTGCCCAACTTGAGGAACCTTTATCACATGTGCCGCAGCTGCAGAGACACTATTGCAACATTTCTCAGGCCAGATGTTTTGTTCTAATGACTCACGGGTGTTGCCCATCCTCTGGCAGGTCTGAGTTCCTAGAATAATTTCCAGTTAATCATAATGTGACAGCAGGATTGCTGACTCACGGAAGTGTGGCTGATGCTATTTGTATGAGGAACAGCATGTTTCTCCGCCCGAGTCTTGGCCGGCTCCCAGGAATCCCATCACAACTTGCTCCTTTGTCCCGGCTGTGCTCCTGGACTGCTGCCCTGGGCCTTTGGGCCTCAGCGCTCCTGCCAGGTTTGGCCCAAGGCAAGCCGGTCCCGCCTCCCAGGCTGCCATGGCCAGCATTTCTGTGCCTTTCCCGCAGAATGGAACGTGATCACTCCGGGAACAAGTCTTATTTTTTCTTGGAGGGCACGCGCTGTAAACTGAGTTGAGGGAGAGCCACATGGAGTAGCAGCCACCAGGACCCACCACCATGCCTCCTCAAAGTCCCAAGTGCGGTGCGTGTGCGTGCGAGTGTGCGTGTGCGTTCGTGTGTGGGAGGCGGGCGGGGGGAGCCGATTTCCCTTCCCATAAAACGACGGCCGCCCTCGGTTCATGGCCTGGCGCTGACGGCCCCCGCCCCCGCCTCGAGGATCCGTATTTATAACGCAAAGCGACTTCTGTTCAGAGATGCGGTTATTTTTTCACTTGCAGAAACTGTAGAGAAATATAATTTTATACCTGTGTACATAAATATTCTGGATGGGAGCGGGATGCTCCTTGAGCTACGGAATAAAAACACTAACCTCACTCGAGCAGCGGCGTCGCCGGTGGTCCTTCCTCGCGTCCCTGGGGCCGGGCGGCCCGCGGCCCGGCCCCCGCAGCTCCCATCATCCGCGGCCGCCCGGAATCCCTGCCGCGGGGCCCCAGGGGCAGGAGCGCCGCCGCGGCAGCTCCCGGCGGGCCCGCTCGTCGCCTAGCAACCGTTGCCAGGGAGAGCGAGCGAGCGCCCGCCTCCTTCGGCCCGTCCCGGAAGCGGGCGAGGAGCGCATGCGCGGCTATGGGAGGTGGGGCCCGGCCGGAGGCACCTGGGCAGGTTGTCGAGGAAGAGGAGGGAGGGCTTGGGAGCCAGCGGACGGGGGCCCGCGAGGGACACACCGCCCTCCTTGTCGCCATGGTGAGCAGCGCGAGAGGAGGGGGCGGGGGGG